AGGGTGGTGATCAGTATCTCAAGTGTTCACTGTGCTCATTTTCATACAAATAACTTGTTAGTTTCTTTTCACCTATCTGTCAAATCAGTGTGGGTTGCAAATCTACTTTGAGAAGAAAGACTCCTGAAAAAATATTTTAAAAAATCATTATTTTACTGCAAAAAAAATTTCAAAGACTCATGGGGGGGTTTTTTACATATTCTGAGCTGAAAGAATTTATGTGAAGGGTCTGGTCACTGGGAGAAGAAAATGAAAAAAATCTGTGTATGGGATTAGTGCATTGTCCCTGTGCAGAGCCTGAAGGTGACAGTATTTTCCACTCCTGTTAAGCATTTATGATTCTTGGGAACTTTGGTGCTTTTAAAAGCTGCCTTCTTGTACTGAATGGATGCCATTCCTTCCTTAGTCTCATTCAGTGAGAAAATACATGGGAGATCCCAGGGTTTGGTGCTGGTAATGCACTTTTCAATATGCATATCTACAAAAATATTTGCAGTAAAATCCCATGTGACTGTAGCCAGATTCATGTTCTCCAGATCTCACATTTACACCAAGTCATGGCAACCTGACCTGGGAAGTCAGTATTGAGAAGGTCAGGTCATGAAGAGTTGATTTTCAAAATACAACTGATCAAATCAAATGTCTTGTCATAGGTCCAAGGATTTTTCTGTTCTGGGTCTCTAGCCTCAGTCTGTCTCAACAGAGTATTGCAGAAATTATATTAATCCAAGAGAAATTTGGGGCATATCATGAAGGGTGATTAGGAGGTTGGTATCTAAAGAGCCAGGGGCCCAGCATCTTACTTTTGGGCCCCTGTCTGGATGCAGGTAGAGATGTGGATTTAAATATACCAGAATCGCAACTAGCAACGTAAGATAAAGGTTTGCTTTGCATATCTGTGCAGTGTTACCATTGCTACAACATTCCTCTCTAACCTGATGAGACTTTGGCTCAGTAATAACAGAAAATGAGCTATCACTCTGTACATCTTCACAGAGCACATAACATATTGAGGCCCTGACCTCAACGGCATGAAACTACAATTTCCCTGTAAGTGCAAAACAATAATACTTCATTAATCATCCACAACAAAAATCCCCATTCCCCAGACTATTCTGGCAATATTCTGCATTTTTGCTTGTCTAGGAACCTGAATTAAAAGGGAGAAAAATGGTTTACAACAGCCTGTGGCAGTGATGTAGCAAGAGACCTTATGTAAGAGCTGGCGGCATGCTCGCCTTGCAAGGGTGAGGTGTAGGAATGAGTGATCCTGGAAGGATGTTTCTCTGAGGTGTGTTCTGTGCCTGGGCTGGGAACAGCAGTCTCAAGGGCACAAATTCCAGCATCTGAATGTGCTTGGTCTTGTTCATCTCATTAATTTCTTACAGCTATCCCAAGTGAAGCTACAAAATCCCTGAGTACTTTACTCAAAGCCTTTCATGGCTTGTCAATAAATTATTTTCAAATTAACTACCTGATAATTTGAATCTGCAGGCTCTTCAAAGATGCAGCGTGGTGCAAGAGAGAAAATAATGGAAGTCACCGACTTTACCCTGCCCATAAAAAAGAATAAAGGTTCTTCTCTGAAGTATTATTCAGTTTGGTGCTTCTGAAAAGTAGTGGTAAGTCTGTAATAACTCATTCTGAAGAGACATTTGTACAACTAACAGATAAACACCAATAGTGGAATAAGTTTTCAGCATTATCTGACAACATTGTAGAAGAGCAAACAGTTTTTAAATGTTACTTTAGTCCACATTTAATGAATATTTAGTCCCTAATTAATGACTAACAGCTCTGATTCAAGCAAAGGATTTTTTTTTAATCTATAAAGCTCTGTACCTTGAAAGGGGAAGATCCAAGATTTTCCCGAGTTTGGGAAGCCTTCCAATTTGAGCCTTCTAATTTTTGTAAAGGGCTCAGGACTCCAGACTAGAGATTCTGTGAAACATGGTGCTTTACAAATTATCTGATTTCTCTTGTACAGTGGGCACTTTTTTACTGAAGTAGCTATTTCAGGTTTCCCTGATGCTGTCAAAGTCTCTCACTTCTTTGAAAGATAATATGGGGAAAACATTTAATTCTCTGTTTATGGCACTGCTTTGTTTTTATTGAATTTCTTTGAAATTGGTTGGCTTAATCTGCAAATGAGATTTTTTTTCTTCACACTGATTATCTAACAGGGGTTTCATTTGATCTCCTTGGGAAAAATACATCCTTAACTGCTAAAGCACGTGTATTAGGTTGTATGACACCATGTACCTTTAAAGGAAACTCTAGAAGACACAACTGGCATTTGCAATAAAAACATTAAGTAACCATAACCAAACACCTGCTACTATACCTGACCTGAAGGTGGGTAACTACAAAATTTAACTCTCCAAAGACAGGCAGTTAATAAATAGGTAATAAAAATATTTGGATATTATAAAATATATCAAGTTGATATAGCCTTTGCCTAGAATCATGGAATTGTTTAGGTTGGAAAAGACCTCTAAGATCATTGAGACCAACTGTTCCCAGCACTGCCAAGGCCACCACTAAACCATGTGTCTCATTCTTAATATACACAGTGCCGCTCAACTGGTTGTCATCTACAAACTTACTGAGGGTTCCATCAAACCCCTCATTCAGATTGTTGATAGAGATATTAAACAGAACTGGAATGAATTGTCACTGTCTGTCTGGGAATAATTCTGCTGTGGGATCCCTGCACATCTTTTTCCTTTGACTTCTTCCTTCATCACATGGGGAACCAGCAAAGTCAACCACTGTGCCAGAAAGTAAAGAATACAATTTGGGCAGTTTGCTAAAATTTAGTGCCTTGACAATTCAGTTAAACTTGTCTAGATGAACCAAAGCTGCTTCTCTGCTGCTCAGTCCTCTGAGATCTGGGAGACAATTTCCTGCGTGTATTTATGAAAGAGGCGTATCTCCCTTTTACCACCAAGTGTTGTAACGAAGTCAAGTGGAAAAGTGCCATTTACCATATAATAAAAACCCTCTATTGTTCATAGCAATGAACACCTAATAATAAAACCTTAAATTTCAGGCTGTTTAAACCAGTTGCTTATGTAATAGAACACGGTGTAATTTTCCATTTAGAATTTCAATACTGTAATAAGAAAGCAATCAAGGCATAAACAAAACACACTTTAAACAGGGCTGCAGGTAGTATTTCCATAATGACTGTTCTTAAAAATTGAAGCTATTTCTTTTTTTTTTTTTTTTTTTGCCAGCCTCGAATTCTTTCTACTTAGCTCAGTCATTTAATTAAAAGAAAAATCAACTTAAAACAGATGAAAGACTGTCTGAAACCAATTGCAGCTATTAGCAAAGAAGAAAAAATACTACTGTAATCCTCTGTTAACACTTGGGTAGGTTAAATTAAAGCCATATCTCATCCTCCTTTCAGGAGGAGACTGTAGATCTGCAGAAAGTGTGCTGTAAACCTGCAGGCAATAGGGGCGTTTTTCTTGATTATCCATCTTGAGGATCTGGAAGTTCACCATTTCCCAAGCACCTGCCAAAAACTACTTGGTTTTACCAGCCTCATCAGCATTCATGCCACGCGATGGGAACCCTCCTGCTCACCCATCATTTATAGGAGGCATAAAAATAACTCTGTGCTGTCTGTCAGGTTTGTGCACAGCATTAAACCATGGGGATTAATGAGGGATAAGCAGTCATGTTACTGTGACCACGGACAGCCGATGGCAGAGTTCGTGTCACTGCAGTGGGATGGAGATGGCTCCTCCAAATCCCTGCTGGGTTTCTAAGGGAAGTTCATACTGCCTCCCTGCAGGTGTTATCCCCAGGGCTCTGGGATCACACCAGCCAGGGCTGGGTCCTGAAAAATGTGCCAGCGCTCTCAGCAGTGGCAGATGAGGAACTTGTTCTTCATGGCAGAGGGGACGGAGGAGCCCGGCCTCAGTCTGGTCCCTGGATAGAAACAGGAGAGACTCGCTGGGGATGGATCCTTTATGAAGGGGTGTGCTGACACCAGGATCCAAGTGTTATAAATTGTGACCACAAATGATCAGAGTACCAATTAAAATTTATTTATTGCTTAGAGATAGCAAGCGGAATATGAGCAAATGCAGCGCTGGGCGAACAGGGGGGGTCTCCGCCCCACCAACTGCCGCGCTAAAACATTGAAAAAGTCCCTTTTTATGGTTTCTTAATTCCGTTTTCTTGACGTAGTGGTAATACTCTTGCGCATGCTTGGGCTGTTACTAAGGGGTCTTTTCTGCCTTCTGGTGGTCGTCGAGGCTGAAGTAAGACGTCTTCCTCTTGTGTCCCTTGTTTGCCCTTTTTGTTCTGGATAGTAATTGCCTCCTTATATGGATCGTCCTTGTAACTCTAAGAACCTTTGGCAATCTTGTCTCTTACATAACTATTACATAGTCTCTTGAGGTTTATTGTACATTTTAGCTTAGTATTTTTAGCAAAAGATGCATCCTGTTTGATAAACTATATTTCCCACCTTAATTTATTACACAAGTTTGGCTTTCCAGCTGAACAAGTGCCAGGGACAGATTGTTTTTCCAGGCCCCTCCGCAGACAGGCGGCCCGTGGCCATCGCTCTCACCCACCCATTCACAGAATCACAGAATCACGGGATGGAAGGGATTGGAAGATGTGTTGGAAGGGACCCACAAGGATCATCAAAGCCCAACTCCTGGCCCTGCCCAGAAGAACCCCGAGAATCCCTTGGAGCGTTCAGAAGGGAATGAGGACAAAACCACGGGTTTTTATGAGGAGGAATCGGTTTATTTCGCGGAGGCTGACGAAGCCCTGAACGCAGGGACGCCAGCACTCCCGGCCCGACCCTCCCGTGGGGGCCCGGCCCAACACGGCGGGCTGCGGCGGCGTCTCCATGGCGACCCGCGCATCGCCGCGGTTGCCGTGGCAACGGGGGAACGCCGCCATCATGGCGGGCGGCCCCGCCCCGGTCACGTGCCGCTCGGTGAGCTCGGCGCGCGGCTGCCCCCGGCGGCGGGACGGACCGACGGACCGGGCAGGGACCGACGGACAGGGACCGACGGGACAGGGACCGCGGGACTGTCCGCGCAACGCCGGCGACATGTCCACCGCCATGAACTTCAGCACCAAGAGCTTCACGCCGCGGCCGCCGGACAAGGGCGCCTTCCCGCTGGATCACTTCGGTGCGGTGCCGCGGCCGGGCCTGCTCACCCTCCCCCCACTCCCTGCCCTCCGCGCCCTGCCCGCACGCCCCGGCGGGTGTCACGGCCCCGGCGGGTGTCACGGCCCCGGCGGGTGTCACGGCCCCGGTGGGTGTCACGGCCCCGGTGGGTGTCACGGCCCCTCGCTGTGTGTTGCAGGGGAGTGCAGCGCCTTCAAGGAGCGGTTCATGGAGTGTCTCCGGCACAGCGGCTACGAGAGCGCGGCCTGCCGGCAGCGCGCCATGGCCTACCTGGAGTGCCGCATGGACAGGCGAGTGTGCCGGCAACACCGGCCCTGCCCGACCCCGGGCACCCCCGGGACGCGCTGGAGACCCGGGGGCCAGCCCGGTGGTCCCCTTTGCGGGGACGGGAGGGGCAGGCAGCCCGCAGTCACACAGGAAGGTGTCCTGAAGGTGGCCCGTGCGGCATCACCGTCACTCGGCTCGTGTTTCCACGTTCTCCGGCCCGTACGGTGGGATGACGGCGGGACTCGGGCAGCTTCCATCCCGCACAACCGCATTTCTCCGTGCGAAGCTTAATTTTTTTATTTCCAACTGGTTACAAGTTAAACTTTTAACTTGCACGTACTTTGCTCGCTTCCTGCCTGCCCTTCTTAATCAGCTCTGTCTTTAAAACCCCCAGTAGGTGTTTGTATAACTTACCCATGAATTATGGTTAATAAGGTGCTGTTCTTTTGTTTATAGACCGTGTTCTCTAAAAAAGTTTTTTTGTTTTCTTCTTTTGAACTTAGGCAGCTTATGGCCAACGAACCACTGGAAAAATTGGGATTTAAAGACCTGATAAATGAGAAATCAGAAGAAAAACCTGAAAAGTCGTGATGAAGACAGACAACTTTGCTCCTCATCTATGGAAAGCATAACTCTAAATGTAGTACATATTGTACCTTCTATTCATATTGCAATAGGAAATGTTTCCTAAAGGAACATTTTTTTCCAGAGTTTAATTTTCCTAAAATAAGGGTTGTTTTTTTTTTAAGTGAGCAAAAGTACTGCCTTTGTATGCTTTGCTCAAGTATTTCTTAACTTCTTTCTTTTAATTTCTCTAGAGGGAAAACAGTTACTGCCTGAAGTGTTCTCCATGTCTCTGTAAGAACAGTGAAGCCTTATTTTAAAAGGACAAAAACCCCAAATCAAACAACCCTTTATTGTGTAGATCTTGAACTGCTGATTAATCTTGTGTGGGCAGTACTAATATGCTCACAGCAGTTGCTTGTTAGGTGGAAATAAAGCTGTTGTGGTACTTGCAAATTGCTTTTCATTAAATACTGGTATTAGTGCCCGTCTTTGGGGTGATCTCCTTCTCACCCTGCTATGGAAGACACTTGGGGTGGTTGTTTTTTTTTTTTCCAGTCTTAAAATCTTCCATCATTGTTAGGAGAGTATTTCTAGTTCCAGACACCAGTCAGGTAGTGATTCTGCTTTGCCATACCAGCAGTGTTCACCTAAACTTCATTTCATTGGGAATCTTTCATTCTGAATACATTCACTTTCCCACAGGGAGCTGCCATATGTTTTGGGGTTTTAATATCTTTATGGTGAAATCAGTGTGGGGACAGAAATGGTATTTATTTGTGCTCTAAGTGACAAAATATACATAATGTGATTGGACTGTTTTATTCTTTTAAAATCAAACATTTTATATTAAAAACCAGGATAGATCAGGAGTTAGCTGTCCAAGAAATCCAGTGTTTCTTTGCAAAACACATGGCTGCAGCCCATACATTGAGAAGGCCATGCAGCAGGTGAGCAATCAGCTCTGAGTGTGTCTTTAAGATCCCTGATATGTGTTTGTATAATTTAGCCATGAATTACCAGAGCCATTCTCTTGCATGTAGTAATGCAGTTGAGTCTTTCTTAATTAATGTTGAGTTCAAGCAGAAAGAGTTTGGCCTGTTAGCCCCTTAGAAATGCGTTTCAAGCAGGCAATAAATTTGTAAATCCTCTGGATGTATTTTCTACTGTATTTTCTGCCCTGTCACCCCTGTTTCTTTTGTTTTTGTCTTTACCCCAGTGACTCATTTCTCTGTCTATCTGGTTCTCGAACGTTAAGCTTTAGGGTCAGGGCCTGCAGACAGTGATACAAACAGTGATCTGTTTGCCAAGGCAATTGTCCAACACTTTTCTCTTTATTTGGTGTCCTCTCTTTGATGTATCTCCCCTTCCCTGCTGTCTGCTTTTGCTTCTGCTTCTCTCCACTGTGCATCTGCTCATACAGAGCTCCAGGAAAGAGTGGAAGAACATTTTCTGCTTTTCATATTGGTCACTGGAGCTGAGATTTAAATTGTTGCTCAGGTCTAATCTGATGGAACAGAGTGCACATAGCTCAGAGCAGGTTCCTGTTTGAAAAGAACATTAGCTTGCTGCTGCATATTTTTATTCTACTTCATTCTACTGTTCAAATTATATCCTTTGGTGAGATTAGTACATTTATAGAAAAGAAAGAAGAGATTGTATTTCTGCAACAGATATTAAAAGACTTTATATTAAACCACTGAACAAGGGCTTCCTTTCAGTGATACCAAGTCAGAATTAAAATAATCTCCAGCATCTGCAGAAGAAAGAAATCAAATTTCATGCTTCTGTGCTCCTTGAATATTATAAGGTGAAGTGAATTCCTGGTAGGTGTGAAAGAACCCACCAGTGGTGGGGGAGTAATCTGGGCTGTTATGAATGGTAGTTTCATTTTTTGGGTGTTACTTTCCACTGTCGTTTGGCCAAACAGTTCCTTCACGAGTTCAGTCCGTGTTTTTCTGAGACATTGGTACCAACTCTGTCCTCTGGGTTGTTCCAGAGTAAAAGGGGTAAAGTTTTTGAGGTGTTGAGTGGTTGCCACCCTAAAAAGGGAGGGCGGGGGTGAGAGGTTTGCACCTTTCACCAACCCTCAGATCACATCCTCATCCTGTCCAGATCCATAAGCACCTTTCATTCTGCTTTCCAGCACTGTGAGTCAGCTGCACAGCGCTGTCCCCTCATGGCAGGGCAAGAAAGGAGCTGTGAGTGGGTAGTTGAAAAGCTGGGGAATTGACAAAAGCACATATTTCCTGTAAGCGTTAGCTGGAGAAGAGAATATGTTCAGTGGAGCTGTAAGGTAAGCTCGGAGCTGGTGAGGGACGTCAGACAGTGAGACCCAATGCAACTGAGAAGTGGTGGGAAAACAAGCCATTAATCAGTGCCAAACCTGGGTCAAACAGTTTTCCCAAGTTGCTCTATGGGACAAGCCCCTGCAACACCAGAGTCATCAGGGAGAATTCCCAGAATGCTCTTCAATTAAGTCCTGCCAACATCCAGATCATTAATTAAAGCCTTTCTATTTAAAACCTCTTAATTTTAGCTTTGCTTGTGGTATCCAGGTGTGTGCTCCTTTAAAATGAAAGCCAAAGGAAAGCTGTAAATTCATAGCCATCTCTCCTGTGCTCATACCAAGAAGGAGCCTCTCCAGAAGCCTGTCACTAAGCTGGGAAAAATCTGTATTCTGGAAACGCTGAGCTGAGGTGTGTGTGCTGCAGGGGAGGCAGTTTGTCAGGGGCACTGCTTCCTTCGTGGAGCTGCTTGGAGCTGATGAGCTGCTCTGCTGCGCGAGTGGTCCCACGCAAGTGCATTAATCTTCCTGTGAGAAGCCTGCCAGGTGCTGCTGGAGCTGCCGAGAAGCTCCACCTGCTGATGGATCCCACGAGCTGGAGACAGGCAAATGGCTGGGAAAAGAGGTTGGGCTGGGACTGATGCACGGACTGCCAGCCTGGATGTGCAGGTGTGGAAGGGATAGCCCGAAGCAGGAGGAAGGGTTGACTGTGTTGGAGCGAAGATCTATTCGAGCTTAGAATAGAATTAGCAATAGAATCAATAAGTGAGGGGGCTGTAATTGTCTTTTCTGTAGCTTTTCTTCAGCAAAGCCTCGTTCACATCCTAAGGAGGCACTCTGCTGCTTGGGATCGGTCCCAGGGAGTCCCCAGAGGGCTCTGGAACAGCAGAGCTTTGCTGTTGGCACTGGGGAGAGCCTTGCCCACACATTCCCCCTTTCGTTGCTCATATTAAATCCACTCAACCACAAAGAGCTTAACCTTGATCACGGCAGTTATTTACAGAGGGAACATTGCTGCGAGCCAACCGTCGTTATGTCTTCCTGGGAGACCTTGAGCTCTAGGTGTATCTCTCCAAATAACTGCAGTGACCTGCAGAACAAGGAAGAAAGGGTTTAATAAACATTTCCAGAGCTCTGGGTGTGCTTTCACAGAAAATCCTACACAAAGAGAGACTCCTGTGCTTGTTCTGGAAGTGGGCCATGGTCCAAAGTCCTTTGTGGGAGCACAATGAGCCTGTGCCTCTGTGCTGAGGAGGGATTGTTGCTCCATCTGCCACCTGGAATGGCAGTACCTGGTGTAGCAGAAGGGTTGCATCTGTCAGCACCTGTGAAGTGAATGTTTGGGGTTGTGCACAGTTAGGGGCAGGCAGTGGGTGTAGCTGCTGACCACACTTGGTCCTTTTCCAAAGCCTTCTCCCCAGTTTGTCCTGCCTGCTTCAAATCCAAGGAGTTCCTTGTGGCTGGGCATTACACTTAAGTTCAGCAGTCACCCATTTGGTTTCCTTTGGAGACCATGGAGTTGCTGGCCTTTGCTGATGATTATTGCCCTTTGGGGCAGCAATCAAAACAACTTTCCCTTACTGCTGCTTTTGTGGTTTGGGCTTAACCAGCACTAACAGTGAGTGAGGGGTAACTAAAGTTAAAGCAACTCTTAAATTTCCCCTTGTTGTCTCATTCCAAGCAGGCCTGGAGAGCACTGAGAGGCAACATTATTTTCACCAAGCCTCTGGAATGAAACTTAGGTTGTGTGAGGCTATGAGAGAAGGAGCAGCCTGCTCCTATACAGAAAGTGTCTGTAGCATCTGTAGGCTCTCAAAGTGCCTTGGGTGTTCTGGTTCCACTGGAGAGCAGTATTTTTCTACATTTCTCATCTGTAATTCCTGGGATGGGAATGATGCTTCTGCTAGAATGCAGGAGCCTGGTCGTTTCTGGTAGCATATTCAGTGACCCCAGAGGACTTAGTTGCTTCTGTGCCTGAAGGAGTTCTATTCTGGAAGAGATCCTTCTGCTAAAGTGGGACTGTTGTGTGAAGCATCAGCTTTTCCACAAAAATCAAAGCTCTAACTCTGATTAATTGAAAAAAAAAAATTAAAAATTTGGAAGTGCACATGCAAGGGTCTGTTTCCCCTTCCAGAGTATTTCAATGAAAATTGGATGTCTGATTAATCTTATCCTGGTTCTCTTTTTTTTTTTTTCCTTAATGATCCCACTTCTGTGAATAACTGGCAGTGTTGCATTTTTTTCAGGATGCAGCAGATTTTCTAGCTTACAGATTTCAAGACAAAATGCCTTCCTTCTGGAATGAAGGTGCCATATGGCTTGAAATGCATAATTGATCACTGCTCAAAATAGAAGCTTCATAGAAAGTCACCTAGAAGTCCAATGCATGTGTGCAGGAGACTTAATAGACCTTGATGCATTTTTTGTTTCCTCAGACTGATGATGATATAGGGAGAGGTTTTTATGGCTCCTCTTAGAGGTTCTGATGCTTGTGCTCTCTCATTATTCCAGGAGATCTTGGGAGTTGCATTAGCAGGTACATCAATCTTATGCTTGCTGATCCCTGCTGGGCTTGGCTGGATGAAAAACACCCCAGACAAGCCTGGCATTCACCATAAACCCAACAAAGGCCACAGTTGTATCTGTGAGTGTAAAACAGTTCAGTTGATCAAATCTGGTGGGTTGAATCCCACCCTTGGTGCCCCTATTTCCCCACCTCTGGTGGGATGCCTGCACAAGCAGTCTTCCTTCCCCAGCTCCCACACAGAGCGAGGTAGGTTCCTACTGACATGGGAGGGATGTTGGGGTCTGTCTGGCTGTGTGCCCTGCTTCCTGGTAATGAACAACACTGTAGACCACCCAGTATTATGGATGCTTTTCTGTTCTGGTCCTTATGAATTATGGCAAATTCTTGATAAGAGCAGTGGTGGGAAGTTGCTTTGAAAAAAAGAGAGCAGAGCAGGAAAGAAATCAAGGAGACTACCCAGAATGACCCAGGCTTTTCGATTCACCTTGATAGGTTTAAAAAGCAGGCAGTGGAGGTGCTTCTGCAGCCCCTTTGGGCAACTAAGTCCTTTGTCTATTTTAGTAACCTTCAAGGAGTTGACAGATCTGATTTCTGGAGGATTTCTAGTTTTCTCACTGCTAGCAAGCCCTGCTCAGCAAGAACCTGCTCACACACCCAGTTCTGCTCCTTGCTTGCAGAGCTGCTAATCAAGGATAGCACGTGGGAAGGCAGCCACATGGGAGGGGGCGCTCTGCGAGGGAGTCAGACCCGGTTTTGTTTGCTCAATTTACATTTCTCTGTTATTAAACCATGTTCTGGGTTTCAGCAGGGTTTGTAAGCACTGAATCTCTACTTAGTGGACAAGGTAGGAGAATTATAGCTACTACAGAATCTGGGACACCAGGATAGCCCTGAGGATTTGATGTGATGCTGTGTACTGCAGCCATCTGCTGCCAATCTACTAAGGGCCTCTCCCCTCTGGGTTGCACCAGCAGCCCCAGGTAGCATGGATGGATGGATGGTCATAAGCATTTCATCACACTGGGGAAGCTAGTTTTGGGGCAGGCAGACTCAAAGGGGAAAAAAAAAATCCTGCTGCCACTCAGGATTGCAGAGAAGCTGCGGATCAGAACAGTGCTGAGAAAATTGCTGGTAACTCAGGATGCTGAACCAGGCAGGAGCAAAGCCTCCCACTGATAAATGAGCCTTCACAGCCCCATGAAAAAGCACCAAGCAGGAAGTCCCAGGGGTGTAATGAGGCTGGCTGCTTGCAACTCTGGGGTTGCCTCCCTTGGCTTTTGCTCTTTAGTGTGGAGGTGGGAGTTATGCCGTGCTGTAAACCCTGGATTTAGCAGGTTGTCT